CATCTATCCATAATGCACGGGTCCACGAAGTAATGCCTCATACGGGAGGTGGACAACTAGGTGTTCCATGACGTCGAAAAAAGTTGGTGGGAATATTTTCTCCAAGTTGCAGATTAAGACGGGGATGTTTTCATGAAGTTGTTGGACAACTTCCACTTTAAGAGTGCGGGTGCTTAGATCCCTAAAAAATGCTCCAATTCCTTATATATATACGAAAACAAAAATTATCCACTTTAGTATATATATATATATATAGAAATAAATTAATCATGTCATCGTATTATATTAATTAATTACCTGAAAGTGCTTCATGTACTTTTGCCGGTAGTAGCTCCGCAAACGCAAAGGGAAGTAGTCGCTGCATAAAGACATGACAATCATGGTTCTTCATCCCGGAGAACTTTGCCCTTTCTCAACACATCTTGAGAGATTTGAAACATACCCATCAGGGAACTTCACTTCTGAAGCCACCCAGTTGAACAACGCAGACTTTTTTTCTGATGACAGTTTGAATATTGGAACTGGAACTTGCCCATAGCTTTTTATATGTAGCTCACTCCTTGAGCAGATATCAGATAAGTCCAACCTTGATTTTACGTTGTCTTTCGTCTTCCCTGGGACATTCAATATAGTGTTCATGATGTTCTCAAAAAAGTTCTTCTCTATATGCATCACATCGAGGTTGTGGCGCAAAAGACGATCTTTCCAATATGGCAATTCCCAAAATATACTCTTTTTGTGCCAATTGTGCTGAACACCATAAGAATCAGACATATTACTGGGAACATGCCAATTTCCACCACGAGGAGCTGTTTCTAGAGCACAGTAGTAATCGATTTGCGCTTCGATTTGTTCTCCAGTTAAATATGGAGGAGGAGTGTCTCTGACAACCCTTTTGTGCCTGAACAATTTCTTGTTTCTTCGGTATGAGTGGTGAATGAGAAGAAATCGACGGTGACAATCGAACCAACTAGTCTTCCTACCATGCTTCAACTGAAACGCATCTGTCATTCCATTACAATATGGACAAGCTAATCTCCCATGTTTAGTCTACCAAGACAACATACCATATGCAGGAAAGTCACTTATGGTCCACAAAAGCATCGCTCGCATCGTAAAGTTTGTTTTCGTTGAACAATCATATGTCCTCACCCCTGTTGACCACAAATCTTTCAACTCTTTTATCAGTGGTTGTAGAAAAATGTCGAGAGATCTTTTTGGATGTTTTGGACCAGGTATTAATATGCTCATGAATAGAAACTCTCGTCGCATGCACATCTCCGGTGGCAGGTTATACGGTGTAAGAAAGACCGGCCACAATGAATATTGTCTCCTAGACATTCCAAATGGACTAAATCCATCAGTGCATAATCCAAGATACACATTCCGGCTATTGCTAGCGAAATGTGGATGTACATTGTTAAAATGTTTCC